GAGCAGAGGCGGGGACAGCAGGGCAGCGGTGCGGAGTTATTTATGAGTCATTGTTTTATTTTGCTTAATTTCTCAAGCTGTAAATTTTTCAAAGCTAATAGCAGCATATTTTCCAGCTCACAGCACAGTAAGAATATACCAAAAGAAGCATCTTCCCACTGTAACGTGCCCGACTGAAACTCGTGGAGTCCAAAGCTGCATTTTAAGCAGACGAAGGAACTGGCGCTCACGTTCTGTGGATTAATCAGATGACTGTGTTGTTTTCCTTCTGGACAGAAAAAAAAATCCTATTTCTGTAACTGTTACCTTGAACCAAAGATTCTTCCAGATTCTAGAAGCCAGCAGTGAGCTGCTTATATTAAGTCTTACTGTGCCCCCTAGTGGCAAATGGGATGTATGCACTTAAAACACAATTCTTGCCCCAAGGCTGGAAATAAAACTCAAAAAAATTTTTTTACTTTTTACTGATCACTTAACATGTACAAAACCTTGTGCCGGGCGCTACAGAGAATACAGAAGCGGGTCTGGCCAGACCCCCTGCTCACATAGCGGGAAGTCTGCGCAGCACGGCCGAGCATGGCCGACCAGGCCCCAGGGCTGCACAGGCGCAACCAGAGGAGGAAGCAAGAACAGGAAGTGCCCACCGTGTGTCAGACGCCACACCAGGTGACGCACCAGGTGACGCACAGCCGGCGTCCTTTGCTTTTCACAAAAGCCTAGAGAGGCCTGTGCCATTAGCTCCACTTTACACACAAGGTCTGTCTGGAAAGAGTTCAGCCAACATAACACTTTCTGTCTGGAAAGTGTTAATATTAACACTCAGCCAGTGTTAATAAAAGGAGAACGGTTTGCGTGACATCGATGGAACCTGGCAGCCGAGCGTGTGTGAACAATGACACCTTTGCTGTACCAGTCAGCAGGGCCAGAAGACGCTGCTGAGTGAGCATGTGCACTGTGTGGCCGTCACATTCAAACGACTGAGTGAGCAGAACAACGAATCTGCATCAAATTTCCCATTACGCTCAAACATTCCCCCGCAGAACCTATTCGGATGATGCAGAGGCTGCGGCTATGGGCACGTGGGGATTGGCAGCTTCATCACAACAGCGCACCCGCTCATGCCTCCCGGCTCGTGCTGAGTTTTTTGATGAAACATCAAATCACCCAGGTGACTCACCCAGGTGACTCAACCCTGCTACAGCCCAGATTTCGCACTCTGTGACTTCTGGCTTTTCCCAAAACTAAAATCACCTTTGAAAGGGAAGAGATTTCAGACCGTCGATGAGATTCAGAAAAATAAGACAGGTAGCTGATGGTGACTGGGGGAGAACTGGGTGAGGTCCCAAGGTGCCTGCTTTAAAGGGGACCAGGGCATCATTGTCCTCTGTGCAATGTTTTTTGTATCTTGTATTTCCTTCAATAAGTGTCTCTATTTTTCATAATGCATGGCTGGATACTTTCTAGACAGGCCTTGTACACCGGTTGAGGGTCAGAGAAGTTAAGTAACTTGCCGGAGATCACACAGCCAACCAGTGGCAGAGAAAGAATTCAAACTGAAGTGTCCCCTGCCCCCAAACTCTTCCCTCCTTCCTGATCCAGTGTGAGGGCAAGAAGGCACTCTGGAGGACTTTAACCGAAAGGCAAGGGATAGCACCCTACACCCTACAGAAGGGAGCACAGAGTTGGGGGGGTGCCCCCTGCCTGTTGCACCCACCATCTGCTCTCCACCCACAACCGGGAGGAAGCAAGAGGGGAAACCTGCCTGCACCCACGGCCCTGCCCCGCCTCCAAAGCCAGTGTCCTCATGCCTCCTGTGCCCATTTCCATCACACACCGGACCACAGACCCCAAGGCCCACCACACCGCCCATCCTCTGGCACCACCTGCCCAGGGCTGCCAGCTGCCCACCAGGCTGCACACAAACCCGATGTCCGAGGCAGCACCTCCCCTCCCGCGCCCAGCCCCACCCAGTGCCCTGTCTGTCTGGACCAGGCTCCCCCAGCCCCTGCCACAAGGCCTCCCACTGAAGAGTCACTCCACACCCATTCGCCAAATACTTCTGTCACTGCAAACTCGAACACCTCAGAGCAGAGGGCACCCTGGCTAACGGCTGCATCTGTGCCTCTAACCGCCCCAGCTGTCAAGGCACCACAGCAGGGGAAGGATCGGGAGACGCTGACCCCAACAGCCAGGACAGCAGCCATGCTCTGCCCCTGGGGCCACCTCCAGTGCCACCCCTGTAGCCTCGCCACAAGGGACAAACAGTGCCACGGACAGGGCTCCCTGGAGGCAGCACACACCAGCTCCTCAAAACAGGCGGGCCGGCCCAGGGCAGCCCCCAGCAGAAGGCCCTGGACCCCGTCTCAGTGCATCGCCCCCAGCACAGTGACAGTCCCTCAGCTAGAGCAGCCTTCCCAAACTGGACCAACTGCGCCCTCTTCTGGCCATGAGGTGTCACAGCTAGTTGGCTGCCCAGGGCCCCTCCATGGGGGGGGGGGGGGGGGCCTGCACACCTAGGGCACTCAGTCACCTACTCCACAGCACCGAACGCACAACTGACCAAACGCAGGGCCCAGATCAGTGGTTTCACTCAGACACTCTCCGTCCAAAAACTTGCATGGGGACGGCTCTGCTCAGGAAACCTAAACATTCCAGGCCAACAGGATCCAAGCAGGGCCCTCTGAGCCCCCACTGATCCAAGGTGGGAACCGACCCCCGCCCCGGGGCTCCAGGCCTGCCCCTCACCATCCAGAGACGCAATCGCACAGGCAGTGGGCACCGGGCACCCAGCAGGGCACACCTGCCGCCCTGCATCGCTCCACCTATCTCTGCACATGGCGACCCAGCCTGCCCTTCGAGACTCCTCTGTGAGAGTCTGCCACCGCCCCACCCTCCAGGGACTCGACAGGGGCTGCCGCATCCCTCGGGTGGACCGCCGACCACCACACTATGCCGCACAAAACTCCACCACATGCTCAGCGTCAGGCCGGGGCTTAGACATCCGGCACCTGGGCATTCATTCCACCTGAGAGGCCCCAGCCATCTAGAAGCTTGTTCTACTGAGGCAGAAACAGGTTCAGAGAGGCCAAATGCCTTGCCTAAGGTCACAAAGCTGCTGGGTGTGGAAGCAAACCCCAAGCTCCGCTCATTCTGACCCCAGCCCCATCTGGGGCCTGCCAGACCCCGCCCACACCCTCCGGGGGCTCCCAGGGCTGGCCCACGCATGTCTCCACACACTCCAGGATGCCAGAAGCCCCCCAGCAGACTTCCGATCCCCGGCCGCACGGGAAGAGCCCCGAAGAGCTGCGCAAACCCCTGGGCTCCAGACTGGAGGCAGAACGCGACACTGTCGCCGCATAACTCTCCAGCCTTGCCGGAAAAGATCGAGGGCAGGTCATTTCAGAACTCAAAGCAGCCGCTTAAAAATGACACAGGCAACTGCCCCCCATCAGAGGTGTCACTGCAGGTGGGCTTCCTTTCTTCACTGAGGAAGCTGCCTCCTGAGGGAAGAGGTTCAAAAGAGAACTTGCAAACAGTGTCCCGGGCAGGCTGGTTCCCGAACCCCGAGGAAACGGAGGAGTCACTACAATCTATGTGGCACCTGAGGGGCCACGGGCTCTGTGCCGGGGCTCTGTGCACTTTTCTCTCACAAGGTCACAGACACGGCTATGACTCTGCCCTTCTCAGAGGAGACACAGGCCTCGGAGGGGACAGCTCAAGCCAGCTCACCAGCTACTGCCAGCTCCAACTCCAAAGCCATTTTTTTCCAGGAAGCTTGGGTTCAGCCCAAATGTATTCGGCCCCCCACTGCACACCGGTGCCGTGCCGGGTGGCCAGGTGCCAAGGAGAGCGAGGGCGGACACAGTACGGCACAGAGAGGCTGGAGGCAGGTAATGGGCAGGTGCGATGCCCCTGCTACACTGCACACCTGTGCGGCCGGGGCCTGCTCCCTGCCGGTCTCTGTTACTCCAGTGTAAGTTAAAACAAACGGACAATGAGCCCTGGCCTGTGCAGCTCAGCGGACTGAGTGATAGCCTGCGAACCAAGTCTCCAGTGTGATTCCCTGTCAAGGCACGTGCCTGGGTCGCAGGCCAGGTCCCCAGTAGGGGGTATGGGAGAGGCAACCGACTGATGTTTCTCTATCTCCCTCGCCCTTGCTCTGAAAATAAATAAATAACATTTAATAAATGAATAAATCAATAACAATGAAAAAACAAGTTTCTGTGTAAACTGGAAGTCCCCAGCAGGGCACCCACAGTCCTCTCTGGCCTGGCCCCTCGCCCCCACCAGGCCCCTCAAGGCCTCCACGCTTAGAGCCAAGGATGCCCTCCATCCCTCCCCACCCGCTTCACCGTACACCCCTGGGCCCCCTGCAGGTCTTCACCAAGCCCTCCCAGGCTGCCGCGCCATCCCTCCCACACGGCTCCCGTGGTGCTTCTGTGTCCAGCTGGCGGTCCCATCCTCACAGCCCTGAGCCCTGCCCTGTGACTGCCTCCCATGTGGCCATGACTGACCCCACTGCACCTGCCCAGGATCCCCCAGGGACTAGGCTTGCTTACCTCTGCACCCCCGCATCCAGCACAGCGCCCACACCCTGCCGGCACTGCCCGGCATGCCATGGGAGTCACAGAGGGGCCCAGAGGTCCCAGGGCTTGGCCCTGGGCTGCTCTCCAATCCCTCTGGTGGGTCTCGCTCAACAACCTCACCCCCGTGGGCTACAGTGTCCTGACGACCTCAGCGACCCCACAGGAGATAAGGACTCACTAGTGTCCTCTGGAGACCTAGGCAAGGCAGTGCCAGTGAGGCCTGGGACAGAAGGGACTGATGATGGGGGGGGGGGGCGCCACCAAGATCCCTCTCCTGATCACAACAAAGAGCACTCCAGAGATTCCCAAGGAGATGCGCTCAGCCTGGGACCCCACACCACTGTTGTGAAGAATCGAACGCCCAGCAGTTTGGTCCTGAGGATGCTGAAGAGAGCAGTCCCGCCCGCATCTTACCTTGAAGGTTTTATCCATGGAAGCGGAGAGGAGCAGGTGGCTCTTCGAAAAGACCGGACACCACTGAACGCTGTTGACGGGGCCCCGGTGGCCTCTCAAGTGAAAGAGCACCCTCCTGGAGATCCTGGTCTCTTTATACTGAGTGTCCAAATACGGCTGAATGAACTCTGACACCCGGGACTCCACGGAGAGCGGGGCCGGGGGGCGCCCTGGGGGGGGACCCTTGGCTTCCGCAGCTTCAGTCTTGCCTGTTTCTGTGCTCAATCCTTGCAACTGTCTCAGCCTCTTTGGGGTGTAGGGCACAACACAGTCCTCACACCTTTTCTTCTGAACAGAGCTGCCTCGTGTACCTGGGGTTCCAGACAGGGTTCGGGCACAGAAAGGTGGTTCCGGGGGGTCGCAAGTCCCCCAGGAGGGTTTCACCTGCTTACCCAGGGCCGCTGCCAGGGGCACGTGGCCAGCAGGGACGTGGCTGAGCCACAGGGAAGCACGAGGAGGCCCGCTTGTGGCGAAGGTGACCTCAGGCTCTGTCCTGGGCCACTGTAGCCTCTGGCTGGGGCAAGACCCTGGGCCACTTCTCCAGAGCCGAGCCGGTGGGAGACGCGGGCCAGCTGGCTCTTCAGAGGAACGGTGCTTCATGGGCAGGGCGCCCCCCTCCGTCCCGTCCAGGGCTCCCGATGCGGAACCCTGGCCATGCGCTTGGACTGCATCACAAGTGTCTTCCACCTGGCCAGCGGCAATGACACTTCCCACAGGCTCGTTCTCAGCCTCCGAGTCCGAGTCATCATAAGCCACCAATGAAGCCATTGAAGACAGTTTCTTGCTGCCCTTCGGGCACCAACGACCTAAGACCAAACAAAGCCAGGTGTCAGGACTCATGCACGGAGGCATACTGACCACCACACAGAGGAAAGAGAAAACGTGCCGTCCAGCAAGTCGAAGACGGAAAAACTTGTAGGAACAAACACATAAAATGTGAGGGCTCTTCTACACACCGGGCATGATGAGTTAGAGGATGTCTTTTGTAAAATGAAGACTACAGAAATTTGGGAATAAGTTTAACAACCACAAAAAAAAAAGCAAAACTTACATGAGGAAACTAAAGCTTTATTGAAAGATAAGAAACAGGACCTGACTAACCACAGACACGATACCTGCACAGAAAGACTCAGGACTATAAAGATGCCTTTTGGTGCAATATCCAGATGATGCATTACCGATCTGTGCGCCCGAAACCTACGTCACTGCATTAGCCACTGTCACCCCAATACATTCAATAAAAAAGAAAAAAGGAGGAACTGGGAAGTGCCACCCAGCTGACCCAGAAGCTGCCGTTTTTCCACCACAAAAGAGAAACGGCCATTATGGGACACGACAGAGGTGTCAGCTAATGCTACGGTGGTGATGGTAGTCCAACAGAACAATATATCAAATCAACACGCATGTCCCTTACACTTACCAATGTTATATGTCAATTATACTCAATCAAAGTAAAAAATAAAAGAGAAATAGTAATAGTAAAAATACACACACCTTTGGAAAGGCAATTACAAATGTAGACACGTCGAGTTTTTGCTGCAACACCCCTGCTACAAAAGCATCAACTCGTGTGCAAAGACACGGGACGTGTCCCATCCTGGACAGCAGAGGGCGCGGTGGAGCAGCATGGATAGCTCAAGCAAGGACCAACTTTGCAGAAAGCCAGGTGTACAGCTTAACAAACCATGCAGGTGCATTACGGCCGGCGCTAGAAGAGTCCTTCTGGGTCATCTCCAAGCCATTTCAGACAGGCTGTCTCCCCCTAGAGAGTGGGTTTCACAGTCCCTGGAATCGAACACCCCACCCCTTCCACACCTTTTCCCCAAAGGGTGCCATTCCCCCTAAACAAACTAGGTCATCTGCCTCCCCCCCAGATTGTACTTCCATCTGCAGCCTAATCCACACACAAAGCCTCCCTCTAAAGAAAACTTCCACAATGAGCCTGCCCATCTCAAATAGAAATATAACATAATGAACTAACTATAAACTCATGGAACCGAGCCCTGTGGATGATGTGGCATTTCTGTTCCCTAAATGCCATCCCGAGGCCCATCCTGATCAGACATCTCAACTCCTGGGCACATCATCCCGTTCCTTCCTGTCAAGGAGGACCCACGGGGTTCCTTCCCACCACCAGGGCGCCTGTTCTCAGCCATTAGGATTCCCACCCACCCAGTTGTCCACAGTGGTCAGCTCACAGGAGCCCATGACTAGAATTAAAGGCAAGGTCTACAGCAAAACATCAGAGAGCAACAGGGCTGGGGCCCACTGGCCCCACTTCCTAAGGAGGCGAAGCGGCAGGATGGAATAGAGGCAGAAAGGTGGACAACAGGACAGGGATCCCGATACTGTCCACTTCAGGTACTTTCCATTCCCTCCGTTGGTAAACCCTGGAGAATGGGCTACTCGCCAAGACCCACACTAGGCCCCAGGGACACCACAGCCAGTGAACGTGAGTAAACCATGCCCCGTGCTCCCCAAGCTCACTCACATGCCAGTAGGGAGAAAATGACCATAATCAAGTGAAATGAGGGACGTCAGGTGGTGAGAAATCCTAAGGGGGGGAGTAGAGTAGGAAGTTGAATACAGGGGGGCTGTGGGCTTGGGGTCACAATTTCCTATAGGGAGACCAAGCCTGCCCTAGAACAGGTGGCATCTGAGTGATGTTCAGGGGAGGTGAGGGGGCAGGTGACGAGAAGCAACACATCTAATCAAATGAGGTCAGAAAGAAAGAGGCAAGGATGATAAAGAAAGCAGGTAAAAATGGAGGAGACTGGGAGCCATTAGGACAAAAACAAAGTTTAGGGGGAAAGTATTGGCTGCCTTCTCTGTTTCTAAAGCAGAAGGGGAAATGGGAAATGTTTCATGGAAGGACAGGGTGATTAAGCTAAAAGGAAGAGGTACAGAAAGAAGGAAAGCTCATGGGAGAAATGAGACTATGGAAGGAGGGCATGGCAATGACCTTCACTGGTGTCAGCGGCTCAAGGGCAGGACCTTTACCGTGTTTTGTTCACTGTTTGATCCCCAGCACCTGGTGGGAGGGGGAGACAGAGAAAGTAAAAAAATCGGATATTCTCATTCAATTTCCTGATCACCCACTATGTGCTAATCCTTATTCTGGATCTGGTGTGGGCAGAGGTTCAACAAAAAATACGGACCCTATGCCGGAGGCCACACACTAATGAAAGCAACAAACAAAATACAACCAGAGGCGTGGTTTGAAGGATGAATAGGAGTTAGCCGAGCGGTTAAGAGCGAGCGGTGAGGATAGCCTAGAACACCGCGCGTTCGGGAAGAACCGGAAAGGAAGAATTGGACAGCGGCGTGGAAAGGTCCACGTTGAAGGGCGCGGGGCACTCCGGACGCCGCCGGATACCTGCAACCTCCCGCCCCGGGCCCGCCGCTCACCGCACGCACCGGAAGGGCTCGATCTTCCCGGTGCCCCACCTGCCTGCACCCCGCCTCCCAGCCTTGTTCCGATGACGCTAGGGCCGCCAACCAATCAGCGGTAACCTCCGTACTGCTCCCCCCTATGAGGCTCAGTCGTCCCCGGAAGTTGTTCCAGCCGGACGGCGTTTCCACGGACGCCCAGGAGGCTGAACCGGTGCTGCTGAGTGGTGACGGGCCCGCATGGGCTGGTAAGTGAGGGAATGATGGGGGGAGGCCGGGGCGGCACCTGATGACCTGGACCTCCTGGAGCCTCCCGCCCCCTAGGGTCCGCAGTGTCTTCCTGAGAGCCCGGCTCGCTGCCTGCCGGTTCTGGCACCACCACGCCCCTCGCGCCCTTCTCTGTGCGCCTCCAGCCGGCCTATCGCCCACTCCGGCCGGCACCGACCCTTCATCCTCTCCCACCCTGTCCCTTTTCTCAAAGCCAGGGTCTTTGCCTGTAGTATCTCACTTAGTCCCCACCACGGTAAAGCTGGGAGGCTCCTTTATGCCCATTTCACAGAAGAGGAAACCGAGGGTGAAGCAGAGGGGTAATCTGACTTGCCCAAGGTCTTGAAATCAGAAAGTGCCAAATCTGGCTTTAAAACCCAGGTCCGTGCGACCCCAGATTCCTGATCTTTCTACTGCACTGCACCGCCTCAGTGCCCAACAGTCGCAGGGACATTCCAGGGTGTCTGGGTGGGGACCAGGAAGAGGGCGGGAAGGTTATCCCGAGGCCAGCGTGGGGAATGCGGTGGCTGATGCAATGATTGGACTCTCCATGCAATGCAGTGAAGGGCTGGACTCTCGAGAAGGTTTCACTGGTCTCCACCCGCCCCCCTCACCCCTCACTAGCACACCACCCACCCCTGATTGGGCAGTCTCATCAAGGAAATTGGCCAAGAGTCAAGTGTTGGTGAGAAACAGGGTGGTTTCTAAGAAACCCCTACTGCAAACAGTTGAAGGGTGGGGTTTTAAAAAAAAGGCTTTTTAAAAAAGGAAACTGAAAGAAAGAGGGGAAACACTATAAAAGAAGAGCCTGGCTGCTGAGAGCAGCCTCAGCTGTTCCAGCGGCTGCCCCTGCGGTGCCTCCCACAACCCAGGTATGTACTGCTGCCTTTGGATAGGCTTAGCTTAGTAATATTTTTATCAGCCTTTTACCAAAGTGCTGGAAACCTTGGCTTAAAGAGCAAGAGGCTGTCTTAGAATCAGAAGGCTGGGCATTTTAATTCATCCCATTGACCCAAAAAGTTCAGGTGATTCCATTTCCCCAGGGATGGAGATGCTGGGCGGGCAGCTGTCTGTCTGGAGTCACGGCTTGAGTTTTAGCACCTTTGCCTTGGTTGTGATGTTCTTCACCAACGAGACCCCCTTAAAGAGCCAGCATCCAAACACATTAGCATTCCCACTGTGATGCTCAAAAAATACCTTATGTCTGACTTCGTAGAGATTAATGTCTTCTTTGCCTTTTAAGGTAATGTTTGGAGAGGAAAATAACGTTTCCTCTTCAGGGTTTACGAAAGAGAAAGTGAACATATTTTGTTCTGAGGTTAGAGGTGCTAGAACCCCTTGCTCTAAAGAAGCCATCGTCTTGTCCTCTGGGAGCTTGAGAGTCCAAGGCCCTTGTCGCCTGTGCCCTGCGTCCAGGATGTGAGGGGTGGTATCCCACCCCTGGTTTTCCAGGCATCCAGAAACCGAAGCCTCCCCAGCCATTCCCAGCAGCTCCGGAATTGGCTGTCCTGAGGCCACCCTCTCCCCAAACTGCAGGGCCCTGGCAGGACCCATGTGTCCTGAGCTGAGCTGTGTGCTGAGTTAGTGCCCTGCATTTTCCGTGGAATGTTCTGTGATTCTTTTTTTCACCCCAGAACCACACCCACTTTCTTTGGGTGCCTGGTGTGTGCCTCCAGAACAATGGAACCTTTCAAATGAGTACAAGGTTCAAATCTGTGAGGTCCCAGAGTTCCGAACTCCGGGTTAAACGCCCCCGAAGCCCAGCTGCATTCTAAAAGTCAGTTAACAAACAAATAAACAAACAACAAAGGAGGACACCCTGCCTAGCTGTTTCCATTGGTTGGAGCATCATCCGTGCACCAAAAAAGGTCACAGGTTCGATTCCTGGTCAGGGCACATGCCTAGGTTGAGGGTTCGATCCCCAGTCGGGGCACATAGGGGAGGCAGCCAATGGGTGTTTCTCACATTGAGGTCTCTCTCTCCCTCTCCCTCCTTCCCTCTCTCAAAATCAATAAACGTTCTCAGATGAGGATGTAAAAATTTTTTAAAGAAATAAAAGAGGGTGTTGACTAGGGGGGAAACGGTGGCAAATGGGTGGGTGCACAAAACGAGAGGTGGTAGGGTGTCCCCCCGCCCCGGTCTGCGACCTGCCCAGTGTGGTCTCTCATGGAGGTGCGTCACACACACACAGACTCACAGTGCAGGCGGCTCCCCCACGGCGAGAATGCCCACACCTTGTGATCATAAGAACAGGGAGACTTGTCTTCCCCTCGGTCAGATTCAGTCCCATGTGCCTCTTCTTCAATGGGATTCTCGTATTTAAAGATCTGTGCTGGCCAGGCCAGGCGGTTCAGTTGGTGGGGGCGTCATTCTGTACACCAAAAGGTTGCAGGTTCAATCCCCGATCGGGGCACGTGCAGGAGACAACTGATATCCCCCCCCCACCTCCCTCCCTCCCGTCTCTCCCCTCTCTCTAAAATCAAAAAGCATATCCTGGGTGAGAATGAAGAAAAAACAGGAAGGTCCGCGCGTTCCCTACAACTCAAACCCTCCGGGCACGCCCTGTCGTCCAGTCGCTCATCTGCAGTGGCCTCCACAGCAGGCGACACCGGCCTCAGGGAATCGCCGCTCAGGGCCCCTGGCGCCTCCCCAGGGGTTCCCAGGGCGCTTTTGGTCTGTGGTTGATTTGGGTCCTGCTCACAGACTTCGCGGCCTGACTGCAGTGTTGGCGAGGTGCTGCGGGAACCAGAGTCTTGTGCATGTCAGTCAGCCTGCGGTGAAATCGGCTTACATGTCATTTTGCTCTAAGTGGCAGAGCCGATCGATGACCTTAAGGGATGACCTAGTAAACTGTGCGCCCAGCTGTATATATCAAGAATCTGGACATGATATTTGATCGCTTGTGCCTGAAAGTGATTGTCTCCCTTTGTTATTTGATATGGGCCTCTAGTGCCAGGCAGAGGTTCTTCCACATTCCTTCTCTCTCTTTTTTTAAGATTTTATTTATTTATTTTTAGAGAGGGGAGGGGAGGGAGAAAGAGAGGAGATTTGCCTCTCACACGCACCCTAACCAGGAACCAGGCCTGCAACCCAGTCCTGGGCCCTGACCGGGAATCGAACCCATAAACTGTCCCTCGCAGGACAATGTCCAGCCAACCACGCCACACAGGTTAGGGCTCCTTCTCATTTTCACAGACTTCCCCGAACTTCCCACTTCGTGATCTAAGTATGTCCCCAAACTTCCCTTTCTGGGAATTGAGGGGATTCTCAGCCGGGAGGGAAAAGAATCATAGTCTCTGACCACACACGGAACGGTTTAGTGGAGACACACACACTTCTCAAACGGGTGTTTAGCAATGGGAAGATGAAAGTGAATCACCCCCCAAATCTGTGTTTGGTCCCTGAGTTACTAGAAACGATTTCAGACAGTTAAAGAACCAAGCAGATGTCCACGGGACCTCTGCCGCGGGCCCGGCCGGGCTGTGTGCTCACCTGCACTGGCACACACGTGTCCACGCGTCCCGCAGTGCGTGCTGCAACATCGTTCCCGCTTTCCTGGGGGGGGGGGCGTCGAGGCTCCTCTAGGAGCCTGTGGGGTGCTGCTGGGGACGCAGGCTGTCCGGTCAAACTGCGTGACTCTGTGTCCCATCTCTGCCACTTACCTCCTGTACCTCAGTTTACTCATCTGTGAGATAAGCCTGTGTCATGAGGCTTCAGTGACCTGCCCTGTGGAAGGTGCCCAGAGCAGCACCAGGTACAGAGGTGCCGGGAGACAGCTGCTCTGTCCCAGCCCCATTGCCGCCATGACCCGCGGTTCAGGTGCAGCGGCGGTCTCAACGGAGCCCTCACGAACAGCACTCAAGAGGGGTCGATCTCTGGCTTTATAGTTTACAAAACGCTGCCATGTACTTTTTTCTCATTTCTTCTCATAACAGCCCTTGAGGTAGGTGGAGAGGTTCCTGGTGGCATTGTTTTATAGATGAGGAAGCAGATCCTCAGAAACAGGAAGTGACTTACCCAAGAGGGGACTGGCTGTGGCCAGTGTTTGCCCCAAATCAGCATCAGGTGACTTGCCCTGTGCCCCCACCTTCAAGGTTAATAGTTAATGATGACTAGTAGCAGGTGCAGGTAGGTACGCCCGCCTCGGAGTACTGTGTGTCTGATGGGCAGGCTATATGTAGTTCTCCCCTCATTCGGAACCCAAGTCTTCTTATCCTAAGAACAGCAGCTGGCCAGCCCAGGAAGCCACTGTTCAGCAATAGTCGGTCATAGCAGCCACCATCTGGGAATTAATCAGCAGCACAACTAAAGAGTAAACAGCCATTTGCCCAATGTGTTCAGGGCCATCGGCACCCCTTGGTGTTGACGCCCTCAGCAAACACCAGCACTTCCTGCGCCCTGGATCCTGTGTGGGGAGCACTCGGTCTCGGTCAGCGGCCCCTCCACAGCCCTTGAATCCAGGATGCAGCAGTTCCTTTAGTGCTCACTGCTGGCACTTGTTCTCACTCGCGGCCCCAAGGTCCTGCTCATATTTTTATCAATGGTGTTTTATCCACATTCTTTATCATGACTCCCCTCCAGCCTTTTGAGAAAGAAGGACGGGCTACAGGCAGGGAGACGCCGCCACAATGCTGTTACTCTCTCCCCCTCTTCTCACCCACAGCGTGTCCGGACCACTGAGCAGCCCCTGCACAGCCCAGCAGCAGCCGGGTTCGGGACATGGCGGACGAGCAGGGCGGGGCCTCCCCCCTGGAGCTGTTCCACAGCATAGCTGCCCAAGGGGAGCGCGTGAGGGCCCTCAAGGCGGGGCAGGCGTCCAAGGTGGGTGACGCGGTGGGGCCTCCGAGTGTGCGTCCAGTCTGTTGGGTGGCGCTGCCCGGGAGCGGACGCTCCCTCGGTGACCAGCTCCAACCTCGCCAGCTGCGGCCTTGCTCTGTCCCTGTGGACACACGTCCCGGAGAGGCCGCTGGAATGCAGCAGTGGGCCCCCCCCCGACTTCCTGCCCCAGAAACATGCATTTTCAATGGTTTTAGCCAAATCTTTTGCTATGTAACCTCCTGTATTTCTAAAAATCACTCTCATTCCATCGCCCCTTGGTGACCGTGCGGGCCCAGGCTTCCCCGAGGGAGGTGAGGAGCCGGCGCTCCCACGGGCGCTCCCCGTCCCTGCAGCCTCCCAAACCGTGTGTCCGAGGGCCCTGCCTGCAGCTGGCCCCTCGAGTGTACTGAGGGCCTCCCCTGCCCTGCCCAGCTTTGTCTTCTCTGCAGTCCGTGTGTCTGCGTCCCTGTCTACCTGGCTCTGTTAGGGACTGATGGCAGTGGCTCTCAAGCTCGCCCTCCCTGGGTGGCCTCCCCGGAGGCCCCCACACCCACGAGTCTAGCAAGTCCTTCTGGGGGCGGGTCTCTCCCCAAACTTGCGCCTGCTTTGCTCTGGACTGGAGTCCCCCCTCCCACCCTGCCCACCTTGGACCCTTCCCTCGTTGTCCCCCCAGGACTCCCTCGCCTCTCTGGGGTCCATTTCCTGGTATTGTGTCTTACTGCTCCGGGTGAGCTGTCCTGGGGCAGAGCCCACTCTCCAGTGGTTGGAGAAAATGACCGCTAAGGAAATGGTGTGGGGGGCTGTCATGCGGTCTGAAAGGGTCTTTATTCCACCAACACTTGACGGCTGGGCCGGGCATAGAGCTCTGAAGGGGAAGTGCGCCCCCTCGGCAGCCTGAGCCCCCGCTCCGGGGTCGCAGTGCGGAAGCGGGTGAGGCCTCTGTCTCCCTCACCGCACATCGGCAGGGCCTGTCTCTTTGTGCCGGGGTTTGGACATTTCTTGGGATGGGTGTTCGCTCAGCGCTCCTTTCAAACCAGAAATTCATGAGCTTCCCATCTCAGAAATCACATTTCCTTTGGTGCCTTGTTTTCTGTATCTCTTTTCTGGTTTGTTTAATTCAAAGACTAGTACTCTGATCTTATTTTTGACTTATTTTTGTCTTGTTCTTCATGGTTTTTCACTTATCCTATGATTTTTAACTTCCAAGAGCTCATCTGATCTCTGAGTGTCCTCTCCTCACAATCACTGTGTAGATACAGTGTCCTTTTATCTCTGAGACCCTGTGATCATTTCGCCCATGTTCTCTGCCCCTTTGTAAACTCCATTTCCTCCAAGTTAACTTCTTCCTTCAGCCCTCCACACCAGGGCAGCCCTCGGCGCGTGCTGGTGCTCAGCTGGCTGTCGGGGTTTGGCGGGCTGGCCGCCTGGGGGAGGGACGCACCAGTGCAGGTCACCCTGCCCTGGAGAGCAGCCTGGCCGCCCCCTTTGGTCAGCAGTCCTCAGCGCTGGGGTCTGCAGGCCTCTTCTCTGAGGCAGGCAGAGTGTCCAGAGGGGCTTCTCCAGGCTGCTGTGCGGGGGAACGGCCTGGGGCAGAGGAGAGGGCTGCCCGGTCCCACCCAGGCTCCCTGTTCCCGGGGCGCTGCCCTGTGGGGCAGAGAGCCCCAGGTGGACAGAGTTCACTGCTCCTCTCCAGACCCTAACCTCTGGGTTGGGGTGGGGCACCCACTCGGCTGCTTCAGGATCCTGGGGGGAGACCGGAGGAGTGGCTTCCTGAACACACATTCGACCAGCGCTCCTGTTTTTGTGACCCGCTTTCTGCCCCCTCACTTCCGGGAGGACCCGAGGCCACTGAGGCCTTGACCTCCTGGGGACTCCCCACCAGCAAGTCCAGTGGCTGCCCAGTATTCCCACAGCATCCGGGCACCCGTGCTCACCGTCACCAGTCGTCCGGTAGCTTCCCAGCTGCTGGCACCCTCTCAGCTTCCTCCGTCCTCCTAGGGTCACGCCTGCACCTTCCTCGGAGAGCTCTTTGCCCTCGTGCAGCGGGTCTCAGGGTGGGGCCGTCTGGAGCGGCAGCCTGCACGCCCTTCTGCTCCGGGACGCCCCGCCCGGGTCACCTGGCAGCCTCCTCGCCACGACTCCCCGGCCCACACCTTCAACCCCCGTTGTCTTCCTTTCAAAAGTCTCCTCCTGGGTCTTCACCAGACGGCGCCCACCGCCTCGCACTCGCCCCAGGAGGGTGCTCTGTCTCTCTGGGCCCCAAACCACGACATTAGAAAGAAAGAAATAGAGGCACTGAACGAAAGTGATGTCAAAACCAGGGACTTGGCTACTCACAGGAAGGTTACCCACCAGATAGGTCTCCTGGGGGAGGCCACGCCCTTTCAAAAAAACCTAGAATAAGGTCTCCCCCTCGGATAGTTCTGCCAGAGCTTGACCTGCGTGCAGGGCGGCGGCACGCGAGGCGGTAGTGTACAGTCTTTGGTGTCTGGCCTTTCTTCAGAGCATCAGAGCTCCGTCTCAGTGTCCTGGTCCGTGTCAGAGTGAGGGCAAGAAAACAGACAGGCAAGCCTGCTTGTCTCTCCAGTCCCACTCAGAGTCTAGACGGTCTCCGAGCAGGGACACTGGTTGCGTGAGTGACACTCACCGGGCCACTGAGCTGCAGGCAGAGTGGAACGAGACTGGCTGTGCGAGGCCACCACACTCGGGTGACAGGGCCGCTGACTGCAGTGCGCTCGGTGGCCCTTTCCGTAGCTCACTGGATAGGCCGCGGTGCCAACCCCTGGCTTTGTTGCAAGCGCCGAGCCAGGCACTGCAGAGAGGAAGTGAGCGACACACGCCTGCCCCTCTCGCCAGGGCAGACGTTCTGCTCCGTGTGAGGTCTGTCCACGGGCTGACCGACCGCACAGCTCCGACTCGTCTGGAGTCCAGATAGTCTCCGAGTGGGGAACGCGTCTGTCTGCACAGTCGTCCTGCGGGGGCGGCCCTGCAGCCCAGGGGCCGAGCAGATGGGCAGTTCTCTGAGTGGAGCTCGCCGGGTGGGTGGCTGTGTGCTGGGAAGTCCAGTTCACAGGACATCACCCAAATGCTCTAAATGCAAAGGTCTGTGTGCTCCGCGGCAAGCGGACTGGACTGGATGTCCTTCGCTTGTGAGCTGACCCAGCCAGGCCAATTACGCGGGCGGCTCTGCCTCATCAGGGCCTCTGTGAGATGCCTGACGTCGGGCTCCTGGAAGAGGGGTCTTCGGTACTTTCCAGAGCGCCCCAGGGTACACTCCGACTTTGTTTTTCTTAGGCGTGTTTTGAAACAATAGCTGTGCAAACAATTCAGGCAGTAGTACAGGTGTTTCCCGTGACTCCCTCCTGGGTTCATGACCTGAAAGCCCATAGTTTTTCTTGGCCTTTTTCTGTTTGTGCTTCTCGAGCTGCCGCCGCTGTGCTTACAGACGTGCTGTTTACGCCTCTGTAAACATCCGCCTCGTCTGTGCATGTGTGAGAGCAGGCTCGGTGCGAGCCCGGCAGGCCTGAGCCAAGGACCCTGGCACACGGCCCCTGCATCAGTGGTGCTGGGGAGCCCTCGGGTGTCCTTGCTCTGCCACAACCAGCAGACGTTGTGTCCCTGTTACCCCCGCAGAGCTGGCGGTGCCACAGCACTAGGACGACAGGTGAAAACAGTGCAGTCAGGCCCACGCCGGCTGTGTGTCCACGAGCAGGCTCCTGCACCTCCGTGCGTCACGAGTTTCTCCAGCTGGAAAGGGACGGGGACAGTGAGGCCGGCCTCGAGGGGCGGCTGGGGTGACCGAGGTGCGGTGGGTGGCAGCAGGAGTGCTCGGCTCTCGTTGATGTCTTCACCTGCACCTGTCTCCCATGCTCAGGATGAAGTGGATTCGGCAGTCAAGCAGCTGCTGTCACTGAAAATGGCCTATAGAACTGCCACCGGGGAGGACTACAAGGTGGACAACCCTCCCGGGAACCTGGCGCCCGCGGGCGACGATGCCACAGAAGCCAAGGAGGATTTCGTGGACCCGTGGACGGTACAGACGAGCAGTGCAAAGGGCATCGACTACGACAAGCTCATTGGTACGTCCTGGGAAAAGCCTACACTTGAGAGGTGGTTCCGTGATGTTCCTGCTGCTGAATTAACTCAGTCCAGTCCAGCTCCAATGCCAAGAAAAAACATGGTCTCGACTCTTGGTGGTGCATTCCACTCCTAAAGCATGACTTTTAAACTAAGCTATAAATAAGGCTTATTGCAAAGTAGTGACCTCTTGTAGAGAGCTCTCGGGGCCTTTTCCCTTGCTTGAACTATGCAGCACGTGGGCAGGGTCTGCGGAAACGGACGCCTTTGCGGCCACCGGCGTTGTCTTCCGCTCAGTGGCTACAGGTCAATCACAGGTCACTGAAGTTTCTCCCCCAGAGGCTGCTCCTGCAGCTGGCAGCCTGGAAGTCAGTTTTGGAAAGGTGGCTGCTGGCAGGTGGCCCGCCATCACTTCTAGGACCTTCCTCAAGAGGCTTCCTGCCCGAGGAAGTCCTTCTTCTGAGACCACCACTGACCGTCAAAGAAGAAAGAGAACTGGAACCTGCCGATCCAGGTCACGGCCGTTTCCCGGGCTGTGTGAGTGCAGCCTGTCAGCGAGGGCAAGCTCACTGCGGCTCGGGCGTCGGCTCGGTCCGACTGCTGCCGAATATTAAGAAGTCTCGTCGGCGTGTGGGAACCATAAGTTAATAAGCACTAGCACCCTGTGTACGTTCTGGACGTTTCCCTCCAGAACCCAGTCCCAGACCCGACAGCACTGTACTCTGCGCATTGTTTAAGCCCATGGTGATCTCAGCTGGCGGCATCGCTGCAGACAAGACTGGACTGTGTTGGGGGCGGGGCCGGAGCAGAGACCTCGGGGGCTGGCTTCACCGAGACTGCGTGGATCTCTACTTTGGCCCTCCACCTCAGTAACGCCCAATCGCCACACCTCCCGCTAATTCCTCATCCCCACTTCTTTTTCCAGTTCGGTTTGGGAGCAGTAAAATCGACAAAGAGCTGGTGAACCGGATCGAGAGAGCCACCGGCCAAAGACCGCACCGCTTCCTGCGCAGAGGCATCTTCTTCTCTCACAGGTCAGCTTCCGGCCGCAGGCCTGCCCACCCCCTCCGGTCCTTCACACGGGGTGGGGGCCCTTCCCTGAGGCCGCCTGCTGCAGTGGGGACCGTGGAGGGCAGTTGTCAGGGACCCGGACCCACCTTCTGCCCTGCCAGCAGCTGGCAGTGGCATCGCGCCCGTCCCTCCGCCCGCTGGCCCTTAGTGCCCTGCAGGCGGCCCGCTTCACGGGGGGAGGTTGCGCTCGGCCCACTTGGCGAGGGGAATCCACACTGAGGCTCGTGCCAGATCATGTCCAAGTTCAACGTTTCCCACACAGTAAGCGGGAGGCTTCCTGAAGTCACATGCCCTCTTCCTCGCAATGTGCTGGCCTGTTCATGAGTCGTATCAAAATAGAAACCAGTGGAGCATACACCCAACAGAATGCCCCCCCGCCCCTGCTCACACCAGAAATACTGTGATGACGTCAGAAAGTGAGCTGCTGCTGCCAAAGGGCCTCTGTCCCCCACCCGCAGGCCGCCTGGGTGGGGGCCGGCACGTTTTCGGGGCTCCGTTTATGGACTTTGTAGTGCGAGGGAGGGTGTTCTGTTTTGCTCCCACTTCACGGTCACAGGAGGGCACACGGGTCACTGGGCAGCCCCACACTTCAAATTCTGGGGCAGAGCACCCCAGGCCTCACCAGCCTTTTCCTTCATGAGATTTCCTTCAGCTTCTGCAGATAAACAGTTGCTTTCTCAGTCTGTTCACCAGGTTGTGCAAGCGTCACCCTGAGACAAGACCCCTGCCCTGAGCAGCCGGTCCCCACCCGTCTCTCTCCCTGACTGCCACAGGCAACCACGAGTCCCCTCCCTGAGTCTGCGGATGGGCCCGCTCTGCACGTCCCGCACAGAGACATGCAGCGAGAGCCCGTGTCAGCTGAGGGGAGTGTGGGACCGCGAGCTCTGGGCCATCCTCAACTGTGAGAATGCCCACTGTCGCCCCGCAGGGGAGGGGGAGTGTAAGCACAGAGAGCCAGGGCGCCCCTGACCCTGTCGGCCCAGAGACAAGCTCAGGCGGCCCCGCTCGGGGCTCAGCAGAGGCCCTCTCAGATCCTGCTGGGCGGCCTCCGCCCAGACCTCCGGAGAAGGCCCCTGCTTCTCTCTGATCTGGGGAAACGTTGCCTGAACCAAGAAACAGTCTCACCTTAGAGAGGTGGTTTCACCCGCCCCCACGTCCCAGTCCCTGGAGGAGCTTTTGGAAAACGGCTTCCCAGATGCCACCCCAGACCCTGGGGTGAGCACATCTGAGGGTGGGGCCCAGGCAGGTGCTGTATGGGAACAGCAGCCACGCGGTTCTGACACCGCCAGGAAGGGGGACCCCCAGGGGCCTCGTCTGTGGGACCTGCCGTCTCCCCAGCCTGGCTCCGTGGACCTGGTGGCTCCAGACAGACTGTGTGGGGTTGGCCTGGCGTCACCCAGGACAGTGGGTAAAGCAGATGATGTTGATAATTGGGAAAATTCCCCAGTCCAGTGTTTGTTTGTTTAAGATTTTATTTTTAGAGAGGGGAAGGAAGGGAGAAATAGAGGGAGAGAAACATCACTGTGTGGTTGCCTCTCATGTCCTCTACTGGGGACCTGGCCTACAACCCAGGCATGTGCCCTGACTGGGAATTGAACCAGCAACCCTTCTGTTCACAGTCCAGAGCTCAATCCACTGGGCCACACCAGCTGGGGCTCCAATTTTTTCTTAACACATTATTCTAAACCTTCGTGTCTTCTATTTTTAAAACAATCACAGCAGAGGTCATCCCAGCAGATGTTTCCTGTCATTTTTCTAACGAGCACCGAGGATAACACACCGGCTCCGGCACACGCATCCCAACACTCCCGGGTGAGCGCAAGCCCCTCGGCTTCCCCAGCAAGCCCACGCCGCCCCTCTGTCCCCACAGAGACATGAACCAAGTCCTCGACGCCTACGAGAACAGGAAGCCGTTCTACCTGTACACGGGCCGGGGCCCCTCCTCCGAGGCCATGCACGTGGGCCACCTCATCCCCTTCATTTTCACAAAGTACGTGCTGTGTCGGGGGCTTCCCTCCCCGTTTTTTCTTTTTTAGATTTTTATTGTTTTTAGAGACGAGGGGACAGAGAGAAAGAAACCTGAACGGGAGGGAGACAGCGATCGGTTGCCTCTCGTACAGGCCCCGTCAGGGGACCGAACCCGCCACCCAGCTGTGGGCCCTGACTGGGAGGGAGACCAGCGACCTTTGTTTCGCTTTGCAGAACACCGCCCAACCCACCAACCCGAGCCGCACCGGTCGGGTGGCGAGGAGGGTGTAACTCGTGTCAAACAGGTTGTTGGGAGGGGCTGCATGTGCAGGCGCCGAACGGCATCCTTCTGCAGGGAGAGTGAGACCCGGCCCCTTCCCCGTGTCCCTCAGGTGGCTGCAGGACGTGTTCAACGTGCCCCTGGTCATCCAGATGACGGACGACGAGAAGTACCTGTGGAAGGACCTGACCCTGGACCAGGCCTACGGCTACGCCGTGGAGAACGCCAAGGACATCATCGCCTGCGGCTTTGACATCAACAAGACCTTCATCTTCTCCGACCTCGACTACATGGGGTGAGCGGGGAGCGCCCGACTCAGCCCACGCCCCGCCAACCTCGTGCCTCTGGGCCTCCACTCTCTGAGCCCCGTTTCCTGTGAAGGGGGCTCCGTGCTAGTGAGAGGCGGCCTAGCAGAGGGCCCACAGCGCCTGTCTGTGTTCACACCTGGCCTCTGCCTCCCACGAGACTCGGCAACGAGTGGGCAGCCCCCATCTGCTCGCCCGGCTCCCTCAGTCGGCAGGGGTTGGCGGAGCGTCTGCTGCCTGGCAGGCTGCTGCTGGGGTCCCATGGCCGGCAAGGCACCGGTCCGCCCACTCTCTCAGGACACCTTCCAACTGGGAGAGTCAGGCAGGTCGCAGCGAGTAGGCCAGGTGGTGCTAAGCCCTGTGAGGACAGAAGGAAGCAGGACCTGTGTGCAGAGCCTCGAGGTGGCCTGCTGAGACGGCACAGCAGCACCTGGTGCCCGGCAAGTGCGCACGAGTCCTGCCGTCAGCGGTCTCTCGACGCTGTACCCGCACCTGCCTGGCCATGTGAGCTGCTCTGGGACCCGCCCGTTCAGCCTCGGAGGTGTGAAGGGCAGGCGTTCTCCGCAGGGATGGACCGATACTCGGCCGTCATCTGTGGGACGCAGCCCAATGCGTCACTCCTCACAGGTGCCGCAGCCTCAGCCGTGGGCGCCGCTGCGGTAGGGAAGGGGCCTGTCTCCTGGGAACGGTCAAGGCCATTTTCAGAAACACTGCTCAAATGCCACAGGGCCAGGGTCCTGTCTTGTGATCAGCTGCTGCCCCTCCCCGTTTGCTCCAGCCTTAGCCGAGTTCCCTCTGCTCACAGGACGGCTGTGAGCTCACAGATCCAGGCCTCGCGTCCACACCCCTCCCCACGCAGGCGAGCAAGCCCTGTTGTCGAGGCTGGCCCATCCCGTCCGAACGGCACAGCTACCCCACAGTGGAGGGGCTGAGGTGGCCAGAGTCGGGGGCTGGCTGTACCAAGGCGGGCCCTCCTTCCTAGGCTCAGGGGTGCCTTACCGGGCGGTCTGCCTGGTACCAAGTTGCAGATGGTCTCCCACAGCACAGAACACAATCTTGTCTCTCCAGAAGCGCCCCTTTGGGGCTCCCATACTTGAGCCCCCCAGGACTGCCGGCCACTGGGCCCGAGCCTGGCTGTGTTCCAGCCTCTTCTGCTTGTTGCCTGCTGTGTCCTGGTGGCCCCACCCCCGTGTGCACATGTGCCAAGCCGCTTCCTGCCTGACCGGCTGCATGTGCCATGCACATGGTGGCTGTGGGCCACCTCCCTCCCATGTCTGTGAACCCAGCCAGTGTGGCCCCTACGGGTTTCACCACCGGAGGATTTGACCTTGACTAAAGGCCCTGTGCCTGGGCTCTGACTGTCTCTGCAGATCAAGCCCTGGCTTCTACAGGAACGTGGTGAAGATTCAGAAGCACGTGACCTTCAACCAAGTGAAAGGCATTTTCGGCTTCACGGACAGCGACTCCATCGGTGAGTCGCCACTGCCAAGGCGGTGCCTGCACTGTCTCTTTGAGCCAATGGGATGCCTTTGGCCACTGTCCCGGGCACGCAGAGCTGTACTTCAGCGTCCCAGGCCGCCCCTCTCAGTTGTCTGTTTTAAGGCCAAGAAGAAAGCAGGAAGGGCACAGACGGCCTCGGTGCCCCTGAGCCTGCCTGAGCGCTGAGTGCCCGGGACCGCAGCAAGGCGGACCAGAAGTCCCCCCTCGGCGGGTCTCGGCAGACAACGGTGGCGGCATTACCACTGCCCAAACTACTGAGAGCGGCTCTGTGCCACGACAGTGTCATTGGGATGGCCACCCCGTGAGGGGCAACTGAAAGCCCAGGGGGTGGAAATCGTTAAATGCCCAGTGATACATGTAGGAGATAGGATGTATTTAACAACAGCCTGGGTCAGTGCCTCAAAGTGAAAAAGGCAAGGGGGGAGATAGAGTGTGATCACAGCTAAAATGCACCGAAATAGAGCAAACAGATGAAAAGAGACACAAACCGGGTCCCTAGGCTTTTTCCTTCCCCTTTTCTGTAGTTTTCGGGGCTCCTTTAGTGAGGGTTACATTCCTGGCGGTGAGAAAGCCTGTTTCAGCCCCTCCCTCCCGGTTGGGGACGTGACCCGACTGGAGCGGGCTCCCATTAACGGCCCTCTGTCCCCCTCTCAGGGAAGATCAGCTTTCCTGCCATCCAGGCCGCTCCCTCCTTCAGCAACTCCTTCCCCCAAATCTTTGGAGACAAGACGGACGTCCAGTGCCTCATCCCCTGTGCCATTGACCAGGTCCGGGGCAGGCGGGGTGTCGCGGCGGACTGCGTGCGCCCGCCAGTGGGAGAGGCGGCTTGGAGGGGTGTCGGGCGGGAAGCTGGGGGCCGCTGTGAAGGCCCCTCGGGTGTCCTCAGAGGGCCTCCCTCTGCCCCCAGGATCCGTACTTCAGGATGACGAGGGACGTCGCCCCCAGGATTGGCTACCCTAAACCAGCGCTGCTCCACTCGACCTTCTTCCCCGCGCTGCAGGGGGCCCAGACCAAAATGAGCGCCAGCGACGCCAACTCCTCCATCTTCCTCACAGACACAGCCAAGCAGATCAAGGACAAGGTGAGCAGGGCCCTGGAGGTCCACACACGCCCCACCACTGCGTCCCACTTCAGCCACAGGGAGCAGCGCGGGCGTTTCTGAGCAGAGCTGGCTCCAGGGCCAGGCCACACCCTTCACTCACGGTTCTTCGTTTCGGTCCCCACTGGGAGAGCACAGTGTGTTGTTCCTTTTAGGGATGGGAAGGACGAGGCCCGGGGTGACCAGTGTGGCGCCGTCTCCATCCCTGGAAACCAGCAGCGCTCCTGGCCCGTGAGCAGCCGCCACCCACACAGGCCTTGGAGGCTGGTGTCCTCCCAGAGAGCACTCGCGGGGACCTAGGACCTGCAAGTGCCCTCTGACGGGACGGCCCTGACTGGCCCAGTGCGCTGTGGGCTCTCGGTCAGTATTTGTCGAGTCACCAAAGTACTGTGAAGTAGTCGTTAGTTTGAGCTGCTGTTTCATTTGAGACCAAACGTGTGCGTGCAGACTGGAAGGTCACAGTAAGGGGCACAGAACAGTGTCTGAAGCATGCAGTGTGACCGTCTGCTGGCCCCAGCCTTCTGGAAAGCTCCAGGCAGGTCCTGGTTCACAGCAGGAAAACCCTTCTTCAAGGAAATGGCACCGCCCCACCCCCCGGGCAACGGGCTTCCTCTCTCCTTCTCTGCCTCTCCCTGCTGGCCGAGGCGCCCAGCCTCCCTACAGCGGAGCAGGTTCCCTTTGGTTTTGAGATGCTATTTGAGACAAACTGTGAGCAAAGCGCCTGTCATTCTCTGAGGGACCACAGAGTTCCGCAGGCTGGTGGGCTGTGAGCGAGGTTGGGCAGCACACGGCTGCCAGGGGCACGAGCGGCCTTGCGCAGGGCGGGGTTGGGCCCTGCACACGCATCCTCCACCCAAACCCCACTCTGCAGCGTTGCCTCTTCTCAGACTCACAGCAGGAGCCGCAGTGGCGTGGCCACCGGCCACCAGCCGTGCACCTGCTGTGAGCACCCCGAGCCCTGGCCTGTTTACTTCCTACTTTCTGCAGCTTCTGCAGTTTGAATACGTTGATTGCGTGACTCGCTCCTTTTCCGTCAGGAAGAGGGAAGGGGCCTGCCCACCTGACCCCAGCCCACCCCACAGGGCCACACCTCAGCTCCTTGGGCAGCTTCCTCTCCTCTGGAGCCGAGCTCCGTGGGGCCGCCCGTAGCAGGCGGCTTCCCCTCACCTCGAGTGCTGCATCCGGCTGGTGACCTGTCCTGGGGGCCCCTGGGGACACCCACTAAACCCCCCCGCTGAGGTGCGCTGACTCTGCACACCCCATTCCCCTTCAAAAGCAATAGGGTGACATTTGCACATGGCAAGTGTCTTCCATCCTCACTTGAAGAACACCAGAGGAACTCTGTCCTTCTTGGCTTTTCTCCTCTCCCTTGTGGCCCCAGTTTCTCCGAGATTCTCCTCGGTGGTTCCTGACATGCATCTGTGAGTCCGTCTGTCTGTCCGCAGCTCCTGAAGTGTCGGGTGGGCTGTGCCTTCAGGCCTTCCACCTCGGCGTCCTGGTTCCAGTTCTGGCTGCTGGGCCATCCACCCCTGCCTGCCCCTCTCTCCTGGGGGGAGGCAACAGCCAGGCTTGCTGGGGGGCTGCTGTGCCCCGTCCTTGGTGGCGGCCCCACCCACTCCCCAGACTGTCTCTGTTTCTCTGGAGATGGAGACTATCCGCGTTTGTCCCCTTTCTGAAGCTTGTCCCCGAGAGCTTTCCAGGATGTCTCCCCCACACGTCATGAGGCATTCCCGACTCTGTTCTGTTCTCCGGGGCGCGGGGGCACAAAGTGAATCTTCCCCCGGCAGCCCCTCCCTCCCTGCAGGGAGGCCCACTGTCACTGGGACCTTGGCTTGGCAGGACAGAGCTGTTGGTGGGCCTCCCTCTGGTCAGGATCTGGCATGACTGCCAGCTCTCAGGTCTTGGCCAGGCGGCTGGGCCTGGCTAGCGGTCTGTGTCTCTGGCCGATACAGGTCAACAAGCATGCGTTTTCCGGAGGCAGAGACACCATCGAGGAGCACAGGCAGTTCGGGGGCAACTGCGACGTGGACGTGTCCTACATGTACCTGACCTTCTTCCTGGAGGACGATGACAAGCTGGAGCAGATCAGGAAGGTGAGACAGGGGGCCTCCAGGCCCAGGGGGCTGAAATTGAGCGGTCGATGGGTTTGCACCCATGCGCCCCAAAACCCTCAAGAACAGATGCTCACAGAAGGGGGGGCAAGCTGCTGTTTGTGTAGCAGCCACACAGAAGGGTGTAACCGCATGCGAGTCGAGACACCGTCCACGTGAAAACAGCTCCCTCCCGGGGGTGCAGGGCTTTGCCACAATTGTAAACCCGACGCTTCCCAGCTCCACCAGGGGCGGTAGTGTTCCCAGCACAGCCTCTCTGGGAACAGCGTGGCCATGGGCGTGGAGACCCCACAGGGTACTTGCAGCCCTGCCCTGGGCTTTCCAGTTCTTGGTCTTCAGCAGTTTCGTGTGCCTGATTAAGAAAGAGCACCCCGTGCACAGATGGTCAGGACAGACCTAACAGCAGAGGCGGCGGTCACTAGGGCCTGGCACAGGGTGAGGGGCGGGAGAGTTTCCGTGGCACAGGTAACAGCCTACAACCGTGATAAAAGGGTACAAAGTGGACACGCAGGGAGAGCAGTGCGCCGGGGAGAAAATCGGAGAGGACAGCGGGACATCAGCAGCAGCCTCCCCTCTGGCACTGGCCTCTGGCCTCACAGGAAGTTCCCTCCGTACCTTGCTGCCACTTGGTGGTTTCAGCACTTCCTCCGTGAGGCCTGCTCCGTGCGTGTGTGTTACCTTCACCATCGGGAAGTGGGGGAGTCGGCAGCACCACGCAGAAGCTGGTTGAGGCTGGAGGAGCTGGCGTGGTTCCGTGTGCTTGGCGGCCCGGCTCCGGCTCCAGCTCTACAGGCAGGGCAGCTGGGGCTGCATGCTCTCCCCGCTTCCGCTGTGCGAGGGTGGACGAAGCCGGTCCTGACGTGTCTCTCCTCCGGCAGGATTACACCAGTGGAGCCATGCTCACCGGCGAGCTCAAGAAGGAGCTTGTTGAGGTCCTGCAGCCCCTGATCGCAGAGCACCAAGCCCGGCGCAAGGAGGTCACAGACGAGATAGTCAAAGAGTTCATGACTCCCCGGAAGCTATTCTACGACTTCCAGTAACGCCTGTTCTACCTGCATACCCTTCCCAACCCCCAGCCCAGTGGCCCACTACGCCAGGCCCCGCCCCCGGCAGTAACTGGGCCTGGCATCTGGGTGTCCCATGTGTCTGCCACCCATGTGTCTGCCAACACTGTTTCTCTCTGTGAATGTCACCCCTTCTGTCTCCCAAGGACGGAACCCTGTGCGCTGTTTAGATGCCTGGAGGCGGGGTCTGGTCCTCTGGAGTCTCTCACATAAGGCAGCCTCAGGCCACGGAGTTCTGGGGGCCGGTGCCCACTGGCCAGCCTGCTCTGGCCCAGAGGGGGCGTCCCGTGTGAAAACATCTGCGGTTGCAAATAGACTCTTACAGCCTCTGGCAAAAGGAGTCTGTGGGTGCACATCTGGAATCCAGGTGCCATGATCACAAAACTGGACAGTGCTCCCGACAGTCGGGGTGGGGAGTGTGATGGGCACAGGAGTGTTTCAGCCCATCGCCCCCGAAACCAAACGCGCTACTAGCGAGAACGATGCTGTGTGTGTGACCGAGGCCTCCCAGCCGGAGAGTCACTTCTAACCCCGGGTTTCGGCTAGCGTGGGCCACCTCGATTAAACGGAGTCCTTGTGGGAGAGACGTCCAGTTTACTTTCTCTGGACCACATGTGTCCCCAGAAGTCACACCCCCCTGCACACAGACTCCACCCTGAGAGCCGGGCAGGGGCTGTCACCTTTGCAGACACTGGTCTCGGCACTTCCCCAGTGTGGTGGTCTGCGGGGGTGGGAGGCATGGCTAGAGAGCACGCAGCAGCCCAGGTCGGCAGTACGCCCGCAGTTTGGGAAAGCCCCTCGGGAAGGTGCAGGGTCCACTCCTGAGCACTCTGTCCCCATGTTGCTTGTTGGCCTAAATAAATTTCCTGTGTCCCACCTGCGTGGTGTGCTGTCTGGGGTTTGGGCAGGGACAGGGGCTGCGCTTCAGGCCCCTGGCACCTGCTGTTGAGTGAGTGGCCTTTGGGGACACTGGGGGGCCCAGTTAGGGATGCAGGTGCCCGGACACCCACTGGGACGCACCCCTCCCACCTGCCCCCCCTCTGCAGCCTCCCTGGTCTGGCCCCTCACACTGCATTTCCTGCTCCCACAGCCTGGAAAGGATGCAAGCAGAGGTCCTGGTTTTCGCCCCCGGGGGGCGCCGTGTGGCGGGCAGAGTCCGGACTGTCCAGTGACAGGCCAGGTCATTAGCAGGCTGGGCTCGTTTGCCTGGGGCCCCAGGCTCACTCTACCCGCCCACTGTCATCTCACAGGTGGGGAAACAGGTTGGAGAGGGTTAGGGTGACGTGTCCAAGACCACAGTGAGTCTGACTTCCTGCTGTTGGACAGCAGGCCTGTCCTCACTTCCTCTGGCTAAAACCTGTGGGTTCTGAGGTCCACCCCACCCCCACCCCAGATGCCAGGATTAGGAATGTGATGGCCCACCCACCAGGGGCTACATGGGGGTGGCCCCAGGTTGGTTCCCTGACCCCCAGGGCGGGGCTCCTGCCAAAAGAACTCTCGACTGTTGATGTCCACTCATCAGACCTCCACCCACCTCAATCCCCAGTCGGGTGGCCACACCAGCTGAGCTGCTCTGGGGGACAGCATAGAGGACACCCCGCATGGCCAAGGACAGCCGAGTGGGGGGACGGGCAGACGGGCAGCCAGAGGGAGCACACATCCAGGACAGCACTTCAGACAGAGGAAGAAGGGCGCTGTGGCCTCCAGCGCCCGCAGCCTCCGACAGACCTGCTCTCCCAACGGCGTTCAGCCACCCACCCTTCCGGAAGCCAGGACCCAGCTCAGGGGTCTGCTGGGTGAACACCCGTCACCTCCCACATGGTACTTACGGTGCACCCTGAGCTTGCGAACGGGTGCAGTTAGTGGGAAGACCTAGCTCTGGCCCCACTGATTCTGGGCCCGCCCCCCTTCCTCACCCCAGTGCCCCTCTTCTGAAGAAGAGCTGGGTCAGCCCTAAAGGTCCTGATACCTAGAGGCTGTGGACTTCCGGCAAAGACACTTCCCCACCACGGGCAGGCCCACTACCCGTGACTTAGCATCCCAACCGCCCCCAGCCTGCGCCTTCTCCGGGGCTGGAGCATGCGGTGCGGCGTCAGATGTGACGCGGCAAAGCCTCTTATTCACCAACACCCTTCTCCCAGCACCTGGCCAGAGTGCTGGCGTCTTTAAATCTACCCTGGATGGGCCTCCGGGAAGTGCTGCAGGGCCCCGAGCTTTCACTCGTCCACACCCACTGCTTCACAGCCCTGAGCACCCGCCGTGGGCCAGGCCGAGCCGATGCACCCCAGATCAGACACCTGCTGCCCTTGGGCAGCTCCTGGTCTCGGGTGGGGGAGGGAGTGAGTGACCTGACTACACACCGGGGCCCTGTGGGAACTGAGCAGGGGACATCTAAAAGCCTGGTGGCCAGGCACGGACAGCTTGCTGGAGGCAGTGATGTCTGAAATGGGCAGTCAGCTGGGCAGGGAGCGTGGAGTGTATGCAAAGACTTGGTCAGGCTAGTGTGCGGAGCAGCCAGGCCAGGACGGTCAACCCACATGTTCCAGAAATAGCAAGCTGTGTGGCCAGAACACTGGAGGTTCTTCTGTCTGCAGACAGGGTCAAGGCCAGTGTCTATGAGGGCTGAGTGCAGTTGAGGCAGGTGCTGGCTGGCCTCACCGAGGGCTGCTGCTGTGCGGACCCAGCAAGTTTGCTTGCACTGCCAGCCCTGGCCCCTGACGCCCCCGACGGCCCCATCCCAAGTGGCATGTGGTGCGGAGAGAGGGCTGGGGCCGAGGGAGCACCACCCCCTCCGCCGCCTGCATAGCCTCGTGGAGGCCCAGCTCCGTCTCAGCTGTTTCCTCACCTGGCATCAGGCTGCTGTGACAAGCTGTGTCAGGTGCCTGGCGCCCAGCAGCACTCTGGACACACTGACCCCTCCGTGTCCTCTGGGCCCCTGTAGAGATGCAGCTCCCAGCCTAGGGTCCAGGCAATGGTGGGCCAGACAGCTGGCTAGGACAGTCGGGGGCTGCTTTTGCTCAGATGGATTTGAGAAGGGGGGCGGCAAGGAGAGCAGGTCTTGTGCTCAATGCTGAGCAGCCCCCTGTGGCAGGGCTCAGCCCACCAGCCGGGGCCCCAGGCCTGAAGGCCGAGGGAGCAGAGCCAGCCAGCCACCCAGCGGGAGCACATGTCACAGAGGTTTGGAGGGCTTGGCCTCTGAGGATGACTCAAAGGCAATGACACTGGTCACCAGACCACAGAGCAGCACCCCTGAATGTCCTCGGTGATGTGTTTAATTGCGACAGCCTCCTCCAAGTCTCCAGCAGAGTGAGAGTGCACGGCCCGCCCTCCCCAGCCCACGCGGCCTCTCGGCAGTGCTGCTCTGTGCAGCCTGGAGCTGGGAACCCACCAGGGGCACCTGCTGAGCTGCACCTAAGGGACAATGGGTGGAGAGTACCCCATGGCAGCAGGCAGCTGAGTGGGGCTGGGAGGACAGCCGAGGAAATGGTGGAGGTACGGACGCAGGGGTGCTCCGTACAGGAGACCGGGAGGCTGGAGGGAACAACTGACCGCATGTACCTACAACGGCAGGTGACCGATGTCCTCATGCAAGAGGCCGCTCCCCGCTGGCTCATGTGACCCTCAGGCCAACACCAGGCCAGTAACCCTCGGCCCCTTGGCCTTCTCAGGTCCCTAGCTGGGCAGGCCAAGACCAGACCCCAGCTGACTGTCTTGGGTGTGGCTCCTGTCTATCCTGGGTGACAGCCCAGTGGGGACACTCCCCTTTGCCTCCTCCAGCTACGACAACCTGTAGAAGCTGCTGGCAGGTCGACCCCTGCACAGGGGACCTGCTACTCGAGCAGGCCCCGGGTGAGCCTCAGGGCGGCTTCATAGGTGACAAAGACCACCATGTTGACAGGGAAGGCGCGGCAGCAGTTGAGCGTCAGCCCCTTGAACAAGACCCGCGGCCCTTCCTCCCGCACACTTGTCACCACGCAGTGCAGGAGGCCCCTGTAGCGCTGCTGGCCCTGCCCGTCTGCTTGCAGGCGAGACTTGATCACGTCCATGGGGGTAGCCACGGCCCAGGCCAGGACTCCCGCACAGCCGCCAGCCATCAGCACACCCAAGACATCTGCAGGGGGAGACCCACGACGGGGTGCCTTCATTGGAGGTGCAGCCAGAGAAGAGTGGGGAGGGCACCCAGGGCAGGGCCCAGCTGTAAGGGAGCGGGGCTCACTCCACCCACGTGACTCCTCCAAGACCACACCAAGCAGGTCTATCCTGACCCTTCCCCATGGAGGGTACTGAGATTCCCACCCCGGGAGGCACTGGGCAGCCAGTGTGACACACGACTCAATTCCTGCTGGTGGAGCCTGCACCCCCTTCCAGGCCCCAGCGCCCCACTCACCTGGCTGACTCTGGCCAGCGCGGGTGAGCCACTCACAGAGGATGGAGTAGGAAAGGAAGTAGGTGGCGAAGGAGTGGCCGTCCCGGAACAGCAGGGCCGAGCTGCCCTTGTAGAGGCCCCGCAGACCCTCCTCACGGGCCACAGTGGCCAGGCAGTGCAGCGGCCCGCGGTACCTGGTCCCAGGCACCAGACCTGCGGAGTGCGCAGGACTCAAGGTCGGTGCCACCGCGACTGAGGCCAAGGATCTCCGCCTCATCTGCGCCTGCGCCTGCGTCTGCGTCTGCGCCTGCGTCTGCGTCTGCAGGCGGACCTTGGCCACCTCGGTAGGCGAGGTCAGGAACACCTAAACCAGACACAGGGCAGCAATGAGGAGGTGCCGGCACTGCCATGCACTCTTAGACCCGGCACCCCTGTCAGCCTCCTGTTCCTCGTGGCAACATGGGGGAACTTGGGCCCGAGAAGCTTCAGGCTGGCCTGTGGCCCTGGCGGAGCGGCGTTCAAAGCCGGCTCTGCCCACCAAAGCGAAATCCAGCGCTTTCTTCCGCTTCCCAGTCGCCCTGGCGTAGCGAGGGCTGAGCACACAGTAGGTGTCGGGTAAATGTCTGTGAGTCCGGTTCATGAAAGAGTTTAACCACATAATTAATTTGTTAATGGCATACTAATATAATATTTAATTAACAAGCATTTAATGTCAGACTAATAATATTAACATTTAACATGAGTCCTGGCTGGTATGGTTCAGTGGGTTGGGCGTTGTACCGCAAACTGAAAGGTCACCGGTTTCATTCCCAGTCAAGGCACAAGCCTGGGTTGTCGGTTCAATCCCCCATCAGGGCACGTAAAAAGGCAACCAGTCAACATTTCTCTCGCACATCAATGTTTCTCCCTCTCTCTCTCTCCCCCTCCCTTCCCCTCGCTCTAAAAATAAATAAATAAAATCTTCAAATGATAAAATTGAAAAGAAAGTCCTCAAGCAAGGATAAAAAATAACTTACTTATTTTTAGAGAGGGGGAAGGGAGGGAGAGGGAGAGAAACATCAATGTGTGGTTGCCTCTTGCATGTCCCCCCTACTGGGGACCTGGCCTGCAACCCAGGCATGTGCCCTGGCTGGGAATTGAACCAGCGACCCTTTGATTCGCAGGCCAGCACTCAGTCCCCTGAGCCACACCAGCCAGGACAAAGATAATAATGTTTTTAAAAGATGTAACACCATGTCACTAATAATGTTTTTGCCATTTCATGGGGGCTTCTGCCTGTCAGACTTTGTGCTGGGGACTTTACACGTGATGTCACTTAATCCTCAGCATGATGCCACTTACCAATGAAGAGTCTGGAGGTCAGAGAGGCTCCCTGGTGTCCTCAAGTTCCCTCAGCTAACAAGAGTCAGCCGAGTCCTCACCCATAGTCCCCCAGCCTCCATCCAGTCTCTGCCCGCCCTGAGCCTCGGGCTTGGCCACCTCTCAGGCCCTCCCAGGCTCTCCCAGCCTCTGCCCACCCCTGCAGTCCCAGGGACCCCTTGTCCACCCCACTCACACGGACGAGGCCAGAGGCGAAACCCGACAGTGCGATGTCAATCCTGGCGGGCTTGGCATCGGCACTGCCATACCGGAACCGGCAGATGTGAGCAAGGCAGTGGTGGTAGGTGCCGAAAGACAGGGAGGAGACCAGGGACACGGTGCACACGGGCAGCGAGAGGCCCCTGTAGAAGCCCCGCACCTGGTGGGCAGGTGGACAGGACCCGAGGGCCCAAGTCAGGCCAGAGGTCCGGCCAGGAGGTCTGGGGCACGGCCCTGTCTTGTCCCTGCAGGCCCTCCCTGGCTGCGGGGCTCCAGCAGGTCACTCACTGCCTAGCACCCCAGGAGCCTGAGCTGTGAAAGGAGTCCCGGTACATTGGGACAAGGAAGTGACAGGACAGAGGACCAGGCTGGGCCGGGGCAGCTGTGTGAGGAGCGGGTTGGTGCACTAGCATGCTTGGTGGTGGCTGGTTCCTTTTGCTCGTCCCTGGCCAGCACCAAGCCCCAACTTCACCTTCGTAAATGTTCCTGTGTCCCTCCTCTGGACAGACTCTAACCTGGACCCTGGGGACAGACACCTCCACCCAGCACCACTGGTGCCCAGGCTGCAGGGGACAGAAATGCAAACACAGGGCCCACCCTCCAGACCTTCAGAGCCCCGGCACACCCCCTCTTGACCTCTCCTGGAGGCAGGACCTCCTTCGAAAACCCTGTGTGCTTGACGCCCCAGCTCTGGCCCCCAGAAGACTCTGGGAGGCCAATGCTACTGTTCGCCTTTGGAAGGCGAGAGAACCAAGGCTCCGGGCAGGGATGAGCACCATCTGGCTTGTTGACGAGTGGCAAGCCAGGTGTCCGAGTCCCGACACCCCTGCCCACCACCCTGCCCCCACCTACCCGCTCTCGGCGATACGTGTCCTGGACACAATGCCAGATGCCTGTGTACTTGGGCTCCGTCTGGATCCTGACCTGTGGGAGAAGTGGGCTTCAGGAGCAGGTGGCTGTGGGCCTGGGCAAGGGCAGCGGGCCCTGGGGGAGGGGCAGAGCCCACTCCTGGATTGCCATGGCCATGCTGACGGTGGGCAGAGCAGGGACAGTGAGCGCCAGGTGAGAGGAGACACCTGAAGCACAGGCTGGAAAAGAGTGACCAGCAGTCCTGAGGGCAGTGGGGCAGGCTGGGGCAGGTGAGCGTGCTAGAGGGCACTTCTGGCCAGGGAATGGGGTGCAGGAGACTCCCAGGGTGGCCCACACGTGGGCAGGGGCCCTGGGGCACGTGGCAGGGCCTGACTGTGGCTGCACCTTCACCGTGTCCAGGGGGTAGCCCACGGCAACACCGCAGATGCCTGGAAGAAAAGCAGAGGAACATGTAAGGATGGAGGGAGCAGCGGGGAGAGGACAGACCCACACTCCTCGTCCACACGGTGCCTCATCAGTGCGAGAGCCGCCCCGTTTTGGGAGGAGGATACAGAGACTCTGAGAGGCTGCTGGCAATTTCTTCTGCCCGGAGTCTTGGCCCACAGGTGCCTCCTTCTGAAAGCCTAGGGTGCTCCCTGGCCTGCCCTCCGGTGTCAGCTTTTGAGAGAACTGGTCCAACGCTTACCGGGCCCTGTCCCCAGGCCAGTCAGCTCTGGCCCTCAAGCTTCACTCTGTGAAGGGTCTGTCTGGGGGTGGGAGCTTCACCAAGGGCTGCCTGGAACCCCAAGTGTGTTGATCTGAGTCCTGTCCCATGGCCTCGCTTCTGTCCCACAGCCTGCTGTCCCTGCCTCTAGAACTAGAGTCCCCCAGGGACAGGCCTACCCCTGGTCCGTGTGACCCAGGACCTGGCATGGAGAAGGGGCCCTTTCTGCCCAAGGCTTCTGTGGGTCGGGGAGGAGACATGCAGGATTCAGGAGCCCTTCCAGGCTGTGTGATCTTGGGCAAATTGATCTCCTCTGAGTCTCCTCCTCAGACAGCAGCTGGCCTCAGGCCCTGCACACAGTAGGACCTCAGCGAGCCCCCTCCCCTCCCACACTGTTCTCAGAAGTGTGGCCCAGAAGCCCCCCACTGTTCCACATGATAAGTAAGGGGAGGGCCAAAGCGTTCTCAGCAGCCCGCAGGGGGGATGGCTGGGCAGAGCCAGAGCCCCGCCTGAGCCCGTTTCCCAAAGGGCAGTTACCCATCTGGGCTGTTCTTTCGCAAGGAGCCCTCTCCCTAGAAGCAAAAACAGTCCGGGGCCCAGCCAGGCCGATTACACACTCACACATGGCCATGGGGCAGGGGCGGCCGGCCCTCCCCTCCTCTGCCCACAGCTTCCAGAAGGAGTCCTATTGCCGCTGTCCACACTCTCCCAGGGCCTCTGTCCTCCCCACGCCCCACCCAGCCCTCTCCCTGCAGGCCACGCCCAGCCCCCACCCAGCCTAGGCAGAGACCTGGAACTGCCCACAGCCTCCCCAGCTGAGCCCCCCACATGCACTGAGCCTGCGTTGCTACCCGAGTCTTCCAGGAGCCACCTCTGTCCTCCCTGCACTCAGCACCCATGGCCCACTCCAGGTCCCAGCCACTTCTGGGGGGACTCCTCAAACCCTGCATCGGCCAGAGCCCACCCCCCAGGGCAGAGAACACCCCCAGAAGGAGCAGCCCCCCACAGACAGGTCCTGCTTTCCCTCTGTTACCTCCAATGGCTCCAGCAATAAAATCCATGGACTGTGCAGTGGTGAGGACAGCCCTGGGCCTCCCTGCCTGAGCACAGTCCAATGCGGCCGCCACCACCAGGAAGGCCTCTGCAGCTCCTCTCAGCCCTTAAATAGCTCCAGTGGGGGTGGGGGTGGGAAGCAGGGGCCCACTGACCAGTGGCCCAAAAGGCAGAGGTCGCGCTGGGAAGCAGGCAGGTCAATGCCCACCTGGAATCCCTCCCACCCCCACAGAGGCCCTTTGCCCTGGTGCCCTCAGGAGCAGGCCCCAGCTGTGGGAAGTCTGGGGGAGGCCAGGGAGCTGTCGGGTCTGGGGAAACAGGCTCACTGTCCACGTGGTCTGCAGGCAGGGGTCCCAGACCATAGCTAGACTTCCTGGGGAGGTCCAGGGGTGGGGCTGTGATGTCCCGGTCCCTCCAAGCCCCTGCTCAGGCCTCATTTGTGTCCTTGGGCCTCCCTGACCCGCCTGGAATTGTTCCCGCCCCGGGAACCCTCCAGGCTGCTTCCCTAACACCTTCAGCAAACACTGGCCAAGCCAAGGCCAAGCCAAGTCCTCAAGGAGTCCAGCTGGCAGGGAGGGAGTGGGGGCGGTGGGCCCCTGCTGCCTGACACCAGGGAGGCCAGCCAGAGCCCTCCTGGATCCAGCACGAACACCAGCCCCTCGGGCCTGTTCCCACGCCCTTCGCGGCACCCAGGACCCACATTGTCCCTGCTGCGTCCACATTTGTCTCCCCTGTCTCCAGGGCCTGGCCAAGCCCACCTTCCTGCTGCATCCCCAGTGCCCAGCGCAGACCCAGCACCGAGCAGAGCTCGCTCAGCCAGGGGACCAAGCCCCACAGGACCCACCAAATAGGACACTCACGGAAGGGAAGCTGCTGCACCAGGAAGCCGCTTCCGTCTGCTCCTCACTCGAAACCATTGCAGCCCTGCGAGGACCCTGAGGCTCAGAGAGACCATGAACTTGCCTGAGGTGTTCCCTGACCAGAAAGCTGGCGGAGCAGGGGAGAAGGCAAGTGTTCACATCACAGGGTCCATGGTTTCAAGGCTGTGTTTTTTTTGACTGGGAAACATCTTTTATTCCTTTGCATTAGATATTTTAACGTGTACTTTTTTATTTTCTCATCAGATAGGCTTTAAGATCAAAACCGTCGAATTACAAGGAAAGAAGATCCAGCTACAGATGAGGGACACGCCACAGCAGGCCAGGAGCATCTCACACATCACAGCCCCTCCCAGAGGAGCGACAGGGGGAGGGGCGGGGGGGCTCACGAGCGTGTGACCTCACCCAGCGTGTGACCTCACCAACAGGGCAGGCTCTGAAAAACGGCAGCGAAGGCTGAGAAGCGCAGACAGGTGTGCCAGCGAGGGCGTGGAGAGTGCCAGTGAGCGTGGGAAACCCGTGAGTGTGAAACGGACCATCAAGAGCTGCACCCAGAGGAGAAGAGAGAACAGGCCACAGAGGGGCATGGAATTCGATTTTTGAGACTCGAATGTTTCGATGGTTTTGAATGCAGAAGCAAACAAAAACATCGAAAAGGCTTTGCTCACATTAGCCGAAGGTGTCCTTCAAGAGAGCCCTGCGAAGAGCGGAAAATGGGGGGTCAGCTGTGGGGGGGCGTGACCGGGGGGGGGGGGCAGCCTCACGTTCCACCGGTTGCCCTCCACCACCCTGTTCTCTCTCTCTCTGGCTGCAGAATAAACCACTCTGTCCACTTTAACTCTGAACAGTTATTTCCGTTCCTCATCTCAACTATCCAATCGACCTATTTTATTTGTTCTCTCATCTGGTACTGCTTGCTGACTTTATAATTTTCTGTAATTTTTTAAGAAGATTTTATTTATTATCTTTAGAGAGGGGAAGGGAGGGAGAAAAAGAGGAAGAGAAACATCAATGTCTGGTTGCTTCTCATGCACCCCCTACTGGGACCTGGCCCACAACCCAAGCATATGCCCTGACTGGGAATCAAACCGGCCACCCTTTGATTCACAGGCCAGCACTCAATCCACTGAGCCACACCAGCCAGGGCTATACTTTTCTTTAAACAAACAAAAAATGCACAGAACAAGCAAGTCTGTGACTTCACTTTTAAATGTACTCACTCAGCTTACCACTGCGTTTCACTTGTAGTCCAGTTCTTTTTTATTTTATTTTATTTATGTTTAGACAGAGGGGAAGGGAAGGAGAAAGAGAGGGAGAGAAACATCAAAGGTGTGGTTGCCTCTTGCACGCCCCCATCTGGGGACCTGGCCTGCAACCGAGGCATGTGCAACCAAACCTGCGACCCCCTGGTTCACTGGCCAGCACTCAATCTGCTGAGTGACACTGGCCAGGGCTAGAGCCCAGTTCTTATCAACATTAAAACTTACAGCAATAAAAAGAAAAGTAATGTGGGGAAAATGGGGACAAGTGTAACTGAACAACAATAAAAACATAATGAAAATAAAAACAAACATTGCAAGCCCAGGCAGCCCTGTCAGGGCGGGCCACATGTCCTGGCGGGCAGACCTGCAGACTGGCCCCGGGCAGGCTGAGAACTGGCAGTGGGCAGCCTCGCCACGCCTGCCCAGCCATTTGGGAGCAGGGGACACAAGTTGCCAGTGGCAGCTGCCAAGGTGGAGGGCAAAGGGCAGGATGTAGCCCATCCAAGGCCAGCCTGATGCCTGTCCTGGACTTTGAGAGAAGCAGTTTAGTCTGGTTAGCAGCCAAGTTGCCTGTGTTCAAACCACAGCTCTGTGGCTCATGCCAGCTCTGGGGCCTGGGGTCAGCCCCTTGACCCTTCTGAGCCTCCATTTCTGCATCCAGGAAATGGGGATGGTACCTGCCTCGCATCTGCGACCAGTCAGGGCAAGCTCCAGGCATGTCCCTGTGGAAGTGGCCAGCCAAATGCCGAGGCTGCATCAATAGGAGCATAGGTTCCAGAAGGAAGGAGGTGACAGGCCTGTTGAGAGCAGAGCAAGTACAGTCGGTGTTTGGATTCACCTGCAGATGAATCCATGAGTGGAAGGCTGATGACTTGGCTGATGAGGGAGCTTGAAGGACATTGTCTAATTGAAAGAACAGGGGACCGTTTAGTCCCATGTTTCCTGCAGAGCGTCCAGCGTGGTAAGTGCCAATCATGTTGTGGCACCTGAGCCAAGAACCCAGAAATTGCCCTGGGTACCTTTTTACCTGTAACCCAGATCAGGTGATGTCCTGCAGTCAGACCACTGAAGTTCAAGTTCAGATCCACTTTGGCAATCCATCCGCACTGCCCCCAGCTGCATCATCTCCCCTCAGACAACAGTCTGGTCCTGCCCAGGCCCTCCCCTCATGCAACAAACACTGCTAGGTGGCACGCTCCAGGCCCAGGGCCACCGCAGTTAACACAGACCAGTGTCTAGAGGGTGGTAAGGGCCAAGGAGAGAGACATATGGGGGGAGGGGACAGGGAGCAATGGGCAAGGAAGGCAGTGTTAGAAAAGGTACTTGAGACAAGTATGTTCTCTCAGTCACTGCAGCCAAGTTTCACCTGCCTTTTGTCTCGCAAACATGCCCAAACGCTACCCTTCCTCACAGCAGAAACGGAAAACATGCCACCTCTCTGTCTAGGCTGCTTCCCACAGGTCCAAGCATCTCCCCACCCAGCTGCGAGCTTCTGGTAGGCAGAGTCGTGCTGGACTTGTCTCTGAGCCCACCCCACCCAGCACAGGGCAGGCACCCTGGGGAGGCTTGTTGAATAAAATGCATGAGTAGACAAGTCAGTGAATGGATGAGTGGGAAGACAGATGGATGGATTAGTGGGTGAGTGGATGGCAGGATGAGTGGGTGGGCAGATGGGTCAAAGGGTGAATGGAGAGGTGGATGAGTAGATGGATGGGTGGGTGGTTGGGTGGATGAACTGATGGATAGAGAGTGGATGAGCGGATGAGTGGATGGGAGTAAATAAATGAGTGAACAGGTATGTGGACAGATGGGTGGATGGATGGACAGAAGGATGAGTGGGTAGGTGGGTAGATGGGTGAGTGGGTGGGTAGATGGATAAATGGGTGGTGAATTGGTAGATAGATGGATGGTGAGTAGGTGGATGGATGGATGGAGGGATAGATAGATGGATGACAGATGGACATTTGAATGGACCTAGGGCAGAATCAGCTGCTCGCACTTGGCTTGACCTGACTCAGTAAACAAACGGCAAAGAGGCCTTGGGGTAGCTGGGCAGACTGGGGTCTTAGCCGGGGAGAGCCTCGCCTGGTTTGGGGGGAATACTCAAGCTGAGTCTTGCATGGATGGCAAGAGACAGAGCCCATGGCTGCTGGCTGGTGCCACCCCTCCCAGTTGGAAGGGTTATTGTTATTAGCAGTTAGGCCTGCTTTCAACCTCCTCCACCAAGGCCAGAAACCCCCGTGTTCAGCCCCACCCAGCCTGAGCGGAGAAGGCCACACTGCCCTCCAGGGGGAGACAGACATCGCGCCAACACCACAAGCCTGGACCAACACAAAGGGCTCTGGGAAGGGAGGCGCTGTGATGGCCCCCTTGGGCTCACTGGGCGGGGCCCCCTGGTGGCCCGGGTGCCCCGAGAAACTTGACACATCCTAAATGCATTTGCATAACAAAAGGAATCACTATCAGTTATTTTAAAAATCCAGACAGAAGAGATGCAGCCACCACAGGAAGTGAGAGCCCCTCTGCCCAGCCCTGGGCCCCGCCATCCAGTCGGGGGCAGGTAAACAGGAATTTTTTTCCCCCTATCTTTTGGCGATTTTGCTTCTTTTCCTTATCGGTGCCTCTGGAACGCCTTGCCAAGGGAACTGCCCCCTGCTGGGGTTCAGCCACAGTCCCAGCAGAGTGGCCATGGGGACAGGAGGCGGAGCCATCTCTCCCCTGGGGCCCGCCTGTGGCGTCCGAGGCCAGCCCCTGGCCTCAGCACATGCCGTTCCCTGCCTTCTCCTGTCCTCTCGCTTCCCCTGCGGTGCCAACTCCAGCTTCACCGACAACTCAGCCCAGGACTCGGGTGAGGGCACACTGCCCTCCTCTGGCCACTGCCCCCCCCCCCCCCCCCCCGTGCCTCCTCACAGTGACCGTCGGCCAGGGACATGCTCCGTGCCCCTAGAGAGGACACA